CAGAAAAGTCAGTTCACCTGCTAGCATTAGTCTGCTTGGCCTCAGGTACTGCACCTTGCCAAGCCTTGAGATCAACTTATTGCCTTTTTACCTGAATCAAAGTAATCTCAGAGTAAAGTCCTGTCTGACCTGTAGCTACCCTTCCCCTCTGTTTAAGGTTGATCTCAGTAACCCCTTCTGTTGGACATGGCCTCTGGGCATCTGTGGCTTAGTATTTTTTGTGGAAAGCCAAATGTCCTCTCCATCTCCCAAACTGGAGACCCAGCTGCATGGTTCCTGCTAGTGCCTCCTTGGCAAACTTCTACTCACGCTTCAAAACCCTAACTTTAATGTCCCCCTCCTCCTGGAAGATCCTCCTATTCCTCCTTCTGGTCCAGCCTTACCCCACAGGGCTGGAGGTGTCCGTGTCTGGTTCTATCTTCCTCAGTTGAGCTCTGTAGTGGAAGCCTTTCTTTCTCTTCCCTCTTCCTATCTCTGCAATCTGGCCTAGGCAGTGACCCACCATAGCTCACCCAGGAAGGTTTGGGATATGTACTCGGACACTTGGTTCCCTGAGCGGCTGGTTTCAGACAGGTGAGTCAGCTCCCGGTTCAGCATCCGCTTGAACTGCAGGGGAAGATGAGGACAGTGATGATGGGGCCCTGTGGACAGCGGCAAGGGGTCGCAGTCATCTGGCCTCCCTCACCTTGTTGGAGGCCATCTCCCCCACTGAGTGCCGCGTCTGCAATGTCTCCAGCTGATCCAGACACCAGTCCAGCTCGTCCAGTGTCTCCAAAGCCAGCTTCTGCCCAGTGTCTTCTGGGGGCCAAGTTGATCAGGGGTCTGCCCCACCCCCCACTCGGGAACCCCGCACCCCTCCTGCCCCCGTCTCTGCATCTGGACCCTGCAGCTCTTCCTAATGAGGCCACTCAGGACCCCGGGCTCTCTCCATCCCCAAGGGTGTTTGGGGGAAGAGGGCTTAGAATTAGCACAGCTTAAAGATTCATGGACTGGAGAGGTCACCATAGAGAGGAAGTTCGCAGTTGTCCCACAGTGGAAGGAGGGGATAGGAGTAGGCACATTACCTGTTGGTGGAGGGGGTTGGCTGCCAGATGGGGTGTTACAGACGCACGCCTGCCTGCAGTACAGTAGGCTCAGGAGTGGCCCGCCCCACCCATAGGGCCCGCCCCCAAGACCTCCAGGCCCCGCCCCTCCTACGCTGCTTCCCCCCTCTGCCCGCCCCGGAGAGTTGCCAGCTGCGCCCCTTCCGCCCACGCCCAACTCTGCTTGGCCCACCTTGTCTTTTGAACCCGCCCCTCTTTGCCAGGCCCCGCCCCCCGCCCCGCCCCCTGCGTACTTGGCTGCCCCGCGATCTTGCAAGTGGGCAAGGGCCGCAACGTTGCTCCGAACTGTCCGCAGACTGGCTAGGACCTGCCGGGAGAGGGGTGGTCAGCGTTGGAAAAGAGGGGTCGGCTCTGCCTGCTTGGCACACGACGGAAGGAAGAGATGCGCACTCACCTGGGCAAAGGGCGTCACAATCAGGTCTTCTCCGTGTCTGCGGGGAGACGGGACATGGAAGGGTGGTCAGGAGGAGCCCTCCCAAACCTCCCCATCTTCCAGCTTTTACCCACACTGTGCCCTCAGCTGAACGCGTCCTTGGAATGTCTTCCTGGAAGTCCCTGGTCTCCCTCATCCGATGCTTCTCTGAAGGCCACCATAGCCCCTCTGACCAATCACTCACTTTATCCCCATCTCACAAATGGAGAATCTGAGTACCAGGGACAACAGAGGTCTCAGTAGACGCAGGAAATGATGGCTACTAGTGGTCATGTATGGATGTGAGAGTTGGACTGTGAAGAAAGCTGAGCGCTGAAAAATTAATGCTTTTGAACTATGGTGTTGGAGAAGACTCTTGAGAGTCCCTTGGACTGCAAGGAAATCGAACCAGTCCATCCTAAAGGAAATCAGTCCTGAGTGTTCATTGGAAGGACTGATGCTGAAGCTGAAACTCCAATACTTTGGCCACCTCATTCGAAGAGTTGACTCGTTGGACTCCCTGATGCTGGGAGGGATTGGGGGCAGGAGGAGAAGGGGACGACAGAGGATGAGATGGCTGGATGGCATCACCGACTAGATGGGCATGAGTTTGAGTAAACTCCGGGAGTTGGTGATGGACAGGGAGGCGTGGTGTGCTGCGATTCACGGGGTCGCAAAGAGTCGGACACAACTGAGTGACTGAACTGAACTGAACTGAGGAATCTCAAATCAAGGAGTTTGTTGGGTTGCTGTTAATTGACTTTAATGTTTCTGGATTACCACCCAACCCCAACCTGGAGTCAAGCACAAAGGATCGCAGGATAGCATTGTCCTGCTCAGCTGAGTAAGTGAGTTAGTTGTCTGGCAAACTGCTATCTATACTTCAAAGCCCAGCGCAAATGGTCACCTGAAGGAGGTGTGTGAAACGGAGGAATAAAGGAAAGAAGAAAGTAGGAGGGGGTGTTATCCCACCAGCCTCAAACTCACAGGTCGCTGGCCACAGAGGAGTTCCGAGACATGGTTTTGGATGAGAGTTCGTGGTCACTGTCCGAGCGGTAGAGGAACGACTCTCGCCTCTGACTGTGCTGCGCAGGCGCCTGGGCGATCCGGCCAAAGCCAGACCCGGCCTGAGGGTCCAGGATGCTTCTCCCACACGGGAGCCCATTTTCCAGGTCCAAGCTGAAGGCAAGGGAGACATAGTCAGAGCCGAGGGTCCTGGCACATGGATGCCACATCCTAGTCTAAATCCATTTTCTCATGTCCTCCCCGGGGCAGGCCAGGAGTAGCCTGCAGCTTGTCCGTCTGTCTTACAGTCATACCCGCACTAAGAGACACAGTGCCCCTCACGCCTCCATTTCTGCCTCTGAACCCGAGTCTTTTCCACGGGGATTAATCTGGGCTCCAGCACGTGAGTTTTGGATTTGTCTCCAGGTGGCTGTGCGAGCATGAGTCACAGCTTTTCTGTGGACATCAACCACTCCGTTTATAATATGGGCATCGTAGACTACATCCAGGCTTCCCAGGTGGCGCTAGTGGTAAAGAACCCACCTGCCAATGCAGGAGATGGGTTTGGTCCCTGGGTTGGGAAGATCCCTTTGGGTAGGACACGGCAACCCACTCCAGTATGGAGAACCCCATGGACAGAGGACAGAGGAGCCTGGTGGGCTACAGTCCAGAGGGTCGCCAAGAGTAGAACACAGCTCAAGCAACTTAGCACACATGCAGACTTCATCCCCAGGGCACTTTTAGGGAGTTACAACCAAACACCTGAGGAGGGCGACAGGGCGCCCGTAACTTACCGAGATTACTAAGGGTAAGTTCTTGGGGGCCGGAAATGACTTCCTGGGCTTTCCTCTCAGGAGGGCACCTGGGTTTTGCCTAGATGGGGCACATTGGAAGGCGCCCCACAGCCAGGAGAGCCCCACCCTCAGCTCTCCTTGGCTATGCCCTGGACCACCCATCCCTTACCCAGCTCCAGGCCCTCACCCTAAACCATAGTATAGCCTCGCCCCCATCTCATCAACCCCACCTCCAGCTCACTCAGCCCCAGCCTTAGCTCCCCAGTTCCTCAGCTTTATTTTTGGCCTGAATGCTTTGTCTGTTCTCTTCTTCCTCCAGGCCTTTGCACAGGCTGTGCCCTTGACCCAGGGCACGGTCCTCCCCTGTTCAAGGCAATCCCCAACCCCACCCCCTATCTCTCAGCCCCGTCTCTCCCTCCAGCCACACTCTGACGAAGTGAGAGGGATCAGAGAAAGAATGGCAGGGGACGTGGGGCTAGAACAAAAGTGTGAGACAAGGAGAGAGGGGCTGCAAGTGGGTCACAGAGAAGGGAGCAGGCAGGTGAGGCGGAGACAGAAGACCCTGGGGGACGCCCCTAGACACAGGGCTCCTAGCCAAGGGCCAGTGTCCACCTGGTCCCCTGCCAGGCCATCCCCAAGTCCACGGGCTGGGACCGCGCCTGCCGGAAGGAAGAGTCTGAGCAGGGAATTCAGCTCAGACCGACTTGGGGGTCAGGAATTCGGCAGGGTCCTGCCTGATTCAGTCATGAACGGCCGAGTTTGACTGAGTTGGGTCCGGTCATACAGAACTGGGCCTCTTCCCTCTGACTTAGGTCAGTTTGCTTTGCTGCGTTTAGTCGCTCAGTCGTGTCCGACTCTTTGCGAGTCCATGGGCTGTAGCCAGCCAGCCTCCTCTGCTCATGGGATTCTCCAGGCAAGAATACTAGAATGGAATGCCATGCCCTCTAGTGCGTCTTCCCAACCCAGGGACCGAACCCGGGTCTCCCGCATTGCGGGCGGATTCTTTACCGTCTGAGCCACCGGGAAGCCCAAGGATCTGGGTTCTCTGAGGGTCTTGTCTTACAGGATTGGGCCTCTTCCGGCTGAGTTCGGTCGGGTGAGTTCGGGCGAATTTGGCTACCTCCGACTGCACTCGGGTATGTTCGGAAGCTTTCGGGCATGTTCGGCTGTGTCCGGCCGCACGAGGTTTTCGAGCAAGTCGGGGTGGCGCTCAAGCCACGTCGGGCACATTCGGCTTAGTCCGGCCTCATTCGGGTGATCGGCTGTGTCCGATCGCTCTCGGTCGGTTAGAGCCGGGCTCTCGCTGAAGTCCCTACTTCCAGAGCTTCTGAATTCCCGCCTCGTGACATCTCCCGGAGGGGCGGGGCTTCCTTGCGCTTCCCCAGCCTTGGAGCGGGCTGAGTGACTGGCGGAGACTCTTGGGGGCGGGCTGCTGGCGGTGGCTACCCTAAACCTGCGATCCGAGGGGGAGGCCCGGGAATGGCTACCACCTACCTCTCCCTCTCCTCTCCCCAAATGTTCTGGGAAAGGCGCAACTGTGGATAAATAGGGAAACTGAGGCCAGGAGAGGTCACAGGGTGCTGGGTTCGAATCCAAAAGCGAGTGCGGAGAGTTAGGGCTGAGCCGCGGTTTTCTCGCTGCGGACGACGCTGTTTATCTTTGTGCTCTAAACTTAGCCAAGAGCGGCGGGGTCAAGCCGTGGTTCCATGACGCGGGCGGCGGGGAGAAAGTCGCACGGACTGTGGGAACGGCGCGTCCATCCATCGGTTAGACAGGTAAACTGAGGCACAAGGAGAGACTCGCCCTCCCCCAGCCTCACCGTTGACGTTCTCGACGCCTTTGTGCTCACTCCCAAGCCCTCGACTGGGATCCCTCTTCGCAGGCGGCTGGTGCACCTGGCGGGGGGTGGGGGGGGGGGGGGGGTTCTCCCGAACCCGGAACCCCACTCTGGCCTGAAATGGTGCCATCAGGGACCACCGTCATGACTGCTCCCCACCACCACCAGCTGTCACTGGCCGTGTGACCTTGGAGAAGGGACCTTTGGTCTCTGAGCCTCCAGGTGCCAAGTTACCAAGTTGAGTGCTAAAGCCGTGCGAACCAAGCGCCTGGTACCAGACCCAGTCTGCGCCCACCAGCCCCACCTCCAACCCCAGCTTCTGCCCCGCAACCCACGATGTTACAGTGGCTTCTTGAAGGGCCGGAATTGAAACCCAAAGCGATCGGACGAGTCTCTGAAGGGGGCAACCAAGTGGGGCTGCGCAAAAGTGGCGCTCCGCGCCTGTCAGCTTTCAGCTTGGGACATGCAACAAGCCCGCTTATATCGCGAGCTCCCTGCCTCAAAGGCCTCCATCAAATCACGTCTTCCCCCGAGGACACCGAGGGCTTAGTGTGAGGCCGCCAGGCCACCCCGGTGTTGGCACTGGGGCGGATGGCCGGCGCAGACCAAGGCGGGGAGTGACCCTCATCCCTTCACTGCCTGGACGTTCAGCCCGCCCGCCCCGGGTTGGCAAGGGTCAGAAGGAGACGTGAGCCTCGGCCCGTTCTGCTCCAGGCCACGCAGCTGGAAAGGGACAGACGGCTGGTCCCCTGGGCATGTATCCAGGCGGTGGGTGGAGGGAAACAGATGGAGAGAGACAGGCAGTCATCAACTAAAAGAGACAGAGATAGAGCAGGGGCAGAGACATAACCCCGAGAAAAGGGCAAAGGAGCAGAGCTTTTATGCCCTGACCCTCCAACCTGGCTCCCACTGTCCTTGACTCTGCCCTTCCCACCTCCAGCCCGGCGGTTCCGATGACCCCTGCGAGGCCCTGTCTCGCCTCACCACAGCGGATGGGCCAAGGTGAAGCGCCGCTGCAGGCGGATGCTCTGGTTCACCAGCAGCTTCCTGAAGAGCCCGGGGGAGCCGCGCGGGGAGCCCCGAGGAGAGCTGGGCCCAGGGGCCGGGGCGGGAGCAGGGGTACCCTGCATCGCCAAGATCGCGTGGAGGCTGGACGCAGCACTGGCTGCGCGGGACCTTTTCTGGACAGCCGCGGGGGCGGGGCCCGGCGGGGAGCGAACCCAAGGCGCACCCGCCCCGCCTTCGCGGCGGGACCCGCTCAGAGACGCCCCCACGGGGACACATGGGGAAACTGAGGCACTGAACTAGACGGGGCTCTCTGCTTCCCTTCTTTGGGGGAGCCCAGAAACCGCATCTTAGACCACTTCCCTCTGTCAGCATGTACCCCAGAGGTGCAGCTTGCTGGGCTGAAAAGAGAGATACGGAAGTCGGAAAAGGAAGTGCCCTCCGTTATCAGGGAGTCTCCGAGTATGCCAAGGGGCTGCCCAGATACCACACAATACTTTCAATCCTCCTCTACCCATTTTCCAGATGGAGAAACTGAGGCCAGAGCCACCAAGAACCTGCTCAGAAACTACAATCCTTGAGTCTTTTGTCGGGTGGCGAAACTGAGGCTTGGGGAAAGGTGGAAACAGACTCAAGTCTTCACTGCAAGTCTCCTCCCCCTCTATCTGTCCCCCTCCACAAGCCCCCACGTGACCTCCACCTGCTCTGACATTCTCCAAGCCCTGTCTCTGGATCCTTTCCCCTCTCCTGCTGTCTCCACTGGACAAACATCCGCACTCTACTCCTGCCAAGCCGTCCGCCCTGTGAAGCTTCAGTTGCCACAGCCCACCCCAGGAAGGACCCCCGAAAAGGGAAGCTTCGCCCCTAGTGTTGGGGATAGGGGGCATTCAAGAGTCTGTACAAACTGGCCTACTCTCAGATTGCTGGGGTCAGGTGGCCCTGCCTCATTCTTCAGAAAACGAAACCAAGTCTCAGAGAGTGTCTTGGAGGTGCTTGGAGGTGAGAATGCTTGGAGGTGAGACCCAGAACACCCACCTGCTGGTGACAGCAGTCCCCAAGTGCAAGGAGGCTAGGCCTCCTAGCCGAGGCCCCACAGGAGCTCTGGGCTTGACTGTGTCCTGCTGTGTGATAGCAACCCTCTGCCTGAGCCTTGCTCCAGGGCACTTCACCAGTTTGGGGGTCCCCAGACAAATGCCACCCAGGTTTCTGGCAGTCCTGGGGGGATGTGAGATATTATTTCAGGAGATCGGGCTTCAGTGGGGAGACCCTGACCCTCCCCTGACATCTCGATCATACTGTGGTCCCTCTTGTTTAGATGAGAAACTGGAGGAGGCTCACAGAGGAGTCATGCTGGGGCCCAGGAGGACAGGGAGTCTCAAGGGTCTGGCCAGGAACCCCCTTCTGTCCCCAGGGCCCTGCAACCGGACACCTGGTGGGAATCAGACTCTCTGTCCCCAAGACAAAAATACCATCTGTAGCTGCTGTGACTGGACCTAATTATAGCTGGTCCCCAGGGGATAAAGGCCGCCGGGCTCAGCCTAGTGGAGAGACTGGGGTTGGGGCCAAGGCGGCTTGACACCACCCCCAGCCCTGTGGGAGGGGCTCAGGATGCTCTCGTGGCCCCAAGGAGACACTGAGGCACAGAGAGATTCAGTCCCTTTCCTGAATTCACAGAATAGAAGGTGAAGACTAAACACATAGGAATAAACTGAGCATTTCTTGCTCTTCTGGTGCTGAGCCAAGGGCTGTGTGTGTAAAAGTCATTTGATTTTCAGAGCAGCTCTATAAAGTGGGGGCTGGTATTCTCATTTTGTGGATGGGTAAATTGAGGCACAGAGAAGGGTGCTTATTGCCTGAAGTCACTCAAGCCTGGGTTGGCAGGCTCCCCAGCCTCTCCCAACTTAATGCTTAACTAGCTCCATCCCCTGAGTTTGAGTAAGCTCCGGGACTTGGTGATGGACAGGGAACCCTCACGTGCTGCAGTCCATGGGGCCGCAAAAAGTTGGACACAACTGAGCAACTGAACTGAACTGAGCGCCATCCCCTGTGTAGTCCCAGATGCTACTCTGACATTAAATGCTTTATCGATAATTTCAGTGTTAATGTTTCATTAATAGATTCAACTTTAAATATTTTATGACCAGTTTTAACAGCAATGCTTTTACTGTTACCAGTTGCTTTTTGGGTGGAGAAACAGCTGCAGAGCCAAGACTCAGCATTCAAGGCCTGGCCTGCCTGACCCTGGGGACTCCAAGCTTCACCCAGGAGGGCAGAGGCCAAAGGAAGTGCTGACATGACTTTGTCTCACCCTAACTTTGTCTCTGTACGCTATGTGACCTAGGGAAGTGACCTGCAGTCTCTAGCGCCCTTAACACATCAATGTCTCCATTTCCCCTATTTGAGTGAGCCCCTTCCTTGGGCAAGCACTTATCTCCTCTGCCACTAGGTGACCCTAGTGAGACAGGAGGTGGGTGCTGTTACCCCGTTTTCCGAACAAATACACCTGGGTCTGGGGAGGAGAGATGACTTGCCCAAGTCTCCCTGAAGAATCTAGAGAGAGAGGAGAGTGGAGGCTGAGTCCCACGTGCGGGTGCTCACAGGGGTGAGATCTCACTCTCCTCTGTTCCAGATCCTCCCGTGGCTCCCCATTGTCCTCACTTCTGAATCCACACCTCCCCGGAGGCTCTGTGTAACCTAACCCCTGCCTGTCTTCTCCCCAGCCTCCTCCTCTTGGCTCACTCTGCTCCAGGCTCATCATCTCCCGCTCCTTGCTGTTTTTTTGGAAGCATCCAGGCTCATTCCTATCCCATGCCCTTGCCAGAAGCCTCTTCCCCTGCTAACTTTTTTGTTTTTTAGGTCACAGTTGAAGCACTGCCTCTGCAAGAAGCCCTCCCTGACCAGCTAAATAAATGAATATCTTCAGAGCACCCTCCTCTTATTGGTACACTTTCCTACGTAATGTCCTGATTATTTGATCTGTGTCTGCCTCACTCACCAAAGCTTCCCAGGTAGCTCAGCTGGTAAAGAATCCACCTGCAATGCTGGAGACCCTGGTTCAATCCCTGGGTCAGGAAGATCCCCCTAAGAAGGGAACGGCTACCCACTCCAGTATTCTTGGGCTTCCCTGGTGGTTCAGACAGTAAAGAATCTGCCTGCAATGCAGGAGATCTGTGTTCAATCCCTGGATTGGGAGGATCCCCTGGGGAAGGGAACAGCTACCCACTGCAGTATTCTTGCCTGGAGAATGCCACGGACAGAGGAGCCTGCGGGCTACAGTCCATGGGGTCGCAAAGAGCCGGACAAGACTGAGCGACTTTCACTTTCACCCAGCAGTCCCCTGAGGGAAGGACCAGGTCTGCCTCCTTCCCCATTGCGCCCTCCGTGGCCAGCACTTAGTAGGTACTCAGTAAATGCTTGAGAAATGATTAGAGAACCTCCCCTCCCACCCTCCAGCCACACTGATCTGTGTTCGGCTCCTCACACATCTGATCTTCTTGAGTCTGAGGCTTTGCACTTTCTATTCCTTCTCCTTGGCATACCCTTCCCTACACTCCTCAGTGGACTTCACTTTATCCTCAGGCTAAGCTTAGATGTCACTTCTTCCAAGCAGTCCTTCCTCACCTCCTGGCCCCAGCTGCTGGATCAGAAGCCTCCTCTGGGCCCTACGGCACCCTGATCTCATTCCATCACAGTATAGATCACCCTGTCTGGTCTCCAGCTGGTAGGTCTGCCTCTACCATTTGCCTGTGAGCACCTACTTGCCCTTGGGCTGTGTCCCCAGTCCAGGGTGTGGCACACAATAGCTGCTAAATAAACGTTTGCTGAACAAGATACTCAGACCCTCCCAGACTTATGTGACCCACCTGGGGTGGTGGGGAGGTGAGCCACAGCTGAGGACTATGCTCTGGCACAGAATGTGCTTGACAAAATTCAAAACCTGTGAGTTTTTGTGTTTACATTTCAGTGATGACAGCGAGACTCAGGGAAGCACCACGCTCGCTTGGAAGTGCGCAGAACACCAGCCATGAACCTAGCTTCCCCAGGGCTGAGCCTCTCCCACCATATGTGGACATATACGCACAGGCAGGACACACACACACTCACAGGAACACAGCCCACCACTCCTGCCTTCCAGGGCCGCGGGGTTCTCCCCCCAAGAGGGACCCAAACCTAGTTTCTGTTTGTTCTCTCTGGAAGATGGAAAATCGTGAGTCACCGGGAGGGAGGGGAGGAGGAACTGAGGGGTTGGAGGGTGGGGGCAAGGGCCCTGCTGGGTCACCTGGGAAAGTGCCAACTCTGCGGGCTGTGGGCCCAGCTGCCCTGAACACCAACCAAGGCTGCTGGAGGGCCAGCCTGCGGTGTTAGGCCAGGCTTGTTGACCAAGAAGTCAGTAGCCCTGAGAGGTCCGTGGACCAAAGTATTAATAGGAGAAAAGCCCAGAGAGGAAGGGCTTCCCCAGTAGCTCAGCAGGTAAGGAATCCACCTGCAATGCAGGAGACACAGGAGACATGGGTTTGATCACTGGTTTGGGAAGATCCCCTGGAGGAGGAAATGGTAACCCACTCCAGTACTCTTGCCTGAAAAATTCCATGGACAGAGGAGCCTGGCAGGCTGCAGTCCACAGGGACACAAAGAATCAGATATGACTGAACGAGTAAGCACGCATGCTAGAGAAGAAAATGACTCATTCAAGGTCACCTAGCCTGGCCTCAAACCCAGAGCTCTGAGTCTGGCCTGATTTAGCTCCCTCTCCCATCCAAGGGCTTCCCAAATGGCACAGTAGTAAAGAATCAGCCTGCCAATGTAGGAGATACAGGAGACGCAGGTTCAGTCCCTGGGTCGGGAAGATCCCCTGGAGGAGGAAATGGCAACTCGCTCTCATATTCTTGCCTATGAAATCCCACTGACAGAGGAGCCTGGTGGCCACATGTAGTCCAGGGGGTTGCAAAGAGTCTGACAGGTGTAAGCACACACACCCACACACCCATCCAAGGAGGGCCTGGGACTCCCAGACCCTGCTCTTTGGTGGTGCTGAGACTCCTCTGGCCCCCCAAGGCCCCTGTTTCTCTGTGCTTTTCTTCTGCCTTTGTCTAATTCTGCCCCCTCTCCCAGTTTATATGAATCAGGGGCAGCCCCCTACACACCTCTACTCCCCTCTTCTCCTCCACATTCTCACATTGGAAGAAACATCCTGTGCTCAGGCTCCCCAAGAGGCTTCCCTCTGATAGCAGGGGATGCGTGTGTGTGTGTGTGTGTGTGTGTGTGTGTGTGTGTGGCAGGATATACAACAGAGGAGGCTCCTCCCCCCCCCAGCACAGCAGACAGCTGACCCTGGCCCTCTAGTATATCTAGCCCAAGCTCCCCTCAAATGTTCTCTGTGACCACGAACCCCACAAACACCCGAGGACAATCCAGGGTCTGGAGGACCCTTGGACACCCAACTGGATCACAGCGAGGACACACCCAGTCGCTAACACACACGGACACAGGGGGAAACACTCAAGCAGGCACATAACTGGTATACAAGCGCATAATTAGCGGTATACACACACCCGAACACACCCCGCCACCCAGAGGCCCGGCCAGCTGTGGACACCAGCTCGGAGCACACATTGATTCGTAACTGCTCAGACCCACACATCCTCGGATGCAGAAGCACGGGGCCACACACACCATAAGCGGTCTTGACACCACCGCCCCCCAGCTCCACCCCCGCGTAAAACAGCCTTTTCCTCTAAAGCGCCGGCCGCAGCCGCCCGGCTGGAAAAGCAAAGACCCTCCCCTGCTCCCGCCAGGCCCTGCGCGCCCGCCCCCGCTCCGCGGGAGGGCCCTGCCCCCGCCCACCTACCGCCTGCGGAAGGAGGTGGGCCAGGAGCGCCGCGACTTCTCGAGGGCCGGCCGCAGGCTCAAGTCCCGCTCCCTGCGGCCCGCAGACTTGTCCGGGTCTGAGTGGAAGCGCTGCTGGATGCGGATGGGGCGCCGGGGCTGCCGCCACAGGTGCTTCGGGGCCCTGGCTATGCCTTGGCGGCCGCGAGCGCGATTCAACTCGCGGGATGCCTCTAGCCCTTCTTGGACCCTCGGGGTCTCCATGCGCCACGACTGGGGAGCAAGCGGAGAGCAGGGCTCGAGAGCCGTCCCCGGGAGGGAAGAGCGTCTGAGCCGAAGTCCCGGCCAGAGCCGAGAGTGGAGACGACAGCGAGGAGCTGTCCGCGCTGAAGGTGCTGAGGCAGGAAAAGGTAGCAACAGGGTCTCAAGGTGGGGCTGATCCCGAGGAGCTGTCCTCACTGAGGTGGTGCTGAAGGATAGATAGCAGGGCAAAAAGAACTTGAGGGTGGGGGTTGGAGGAAGAGGCTGGGGAGGACCCCTGCGCCAAGAATGGTCTGCCGTCCCCTCTAGAGCTGAACGAAATAGGTTCAAGACATGGACTTGGAGTGAAGACAGAAATTGTCCTTCCGTTTTCAGCCAAACAGAGAGCAGGGAAACAGAGTCTCTGGAAACCCCCAGCACCGAAGCATTGATCCTACTCCTGATGCTGAAAGTGTAGTAGATTCAGCAGCTCCGAATGGCAGAGACGGAGAGGAGCTGTCCGCGACCTGTCGGTTCTGAAGGCGGTGCAGGAAGACAGACAGGGTTTCAGGAAGACCTCCAGACCAGGGTGTTGATGGCCCAGGAAATGCTGAAAGCAGTAGTGGGTCTTCAGCCTTCCCCTGTGACTGTAGCAAAGAGGTGTCTGGAAGCAGAATCAAGGGCTCTGGTCTTCAGAGGTCTCTAATCTCTTTGGGATCTTAAAAGCCCCATACATGCTAGGCAGGAATCGGAGAAGTAAAGAGAAATGGGGAAGGGCTATGGAAGGGTGCTCCAATGCCTGGGGTGCGCACACAAGAAGCTGCCTCTGGCTGGGGTGGGTAGAGAGGGGCACTCTTTTATAACCACACTGACGCCCAGACCCTCAGCGGAAATGGCAGGATCTCATTTGCCCCTCGACGCCCTGGGCCCCTCCTTACAGTCACAATTCCTGCTGTCAAATCTCAGACCTGCCCCTCCCTTCCCTAGTTCTAGAAACTCAAGGCCCTGCCCACCAGGTACTCTAA